AAGACAAGCAGGACCAACCTTTGCAGCTTTTTGCTACTTGTGCGTCCTGGAGATCATCAGTTGGGCAGCCGGCTCATGGACTGCCCAGCATGTGTGGGAAAACGGATGTAGTTCTTGATGTTCCCTGTTTGTTGTAAAGGCACGCCGTTTTTTTTTTTAAATGTACTTCAAATGATCTTACCTTTGATCAGCAGTTCAAGCAATTCTTGAAGAAGCTGATCTGGAAGTGTGCAACTCATACCCCTTTTTTCCTTTGTGACTTGAAGGCCATTGGAGTATACAGAAATCAGGGGGCACATACGATCAGATGCACATGGGTCAACAGGAGTTCTTGATCTTAATGACGTCAGCGGGACTTCGAGTGGCTCTATTTGGAAGGTATGGCAGGCGGCGCCCAGTGAAACGAATCCCAAGGAAGCTTCTTGTTACTACAGTAGTAGCTTCAGAGACCTCCTAGTAGCTTCTTGTTGCTAGTCATGTGCATATTGTATCAGATTGTGCATTGAATGGCATTGGACTTGTGCAAGCCGTTCCTTAATGATGTGCACAGGCATCGGTATTCTCATGGTTTTATCTCATTTGTTTGACACAGGTGTGGAGAAATAAGTTGACGTGGCTTGTGTCTAGGCCACGCATGCCACGAGCCCCACAGTCATACTTGATGCGGTTCGGCGATGCGGTGGTGCTGGGCCTTGCTGTGTATTTGTTAGAAGCTTGTCCGCAATCACAGCCTCAGTTTGACTTAGTTTCCCTAAAAAATCTAGGAACCAAATCGCTATTAGGTTGGAGGCCATCGCTAGTAGGTTGGAGGCCATCGCTACTCGGGTGGAGGCCATCGCTATTAGTTTTCCAAAAAATCTAGGAATCAAATCACTAGTGCGAGCGCTTCTTCAAGGAAGCTCCCCCGCCCTCACACGTGGGGAGCTTCCTTTGAGCTATCCTGCGTCCAGTAGGTAGTAGCTTAAGTAGTTAAGCTACAATTAAGCAGGCACCTACTGAATGAAGTAGGAGTGGGGCAGAGCGGGCTTAATTAAAAAAAGGCACCACAGCCTGTGCGGTCATTGGTTTCTCCTAGCCTGTGCGATGTTTGAGGATGCTGCTCTCCTGCGAAATGCTTGGATTGAACGCCGCAAGAATTGGAGCCTCAGAAAGCAAAGAGTGAAATGTGAGCATGTGAGCAGTAAAAAGAACATATAGGAAGATAACCTAATAGCGATGGCCTCCAACTTAATTACTACCTTTAGAGATGTGAGAAACGGGGTGTGCTTTTTGCAGACTTCGTCATGCGAGGAAGTTTGTGTTCTGTCTCCTCCTGCTGGCGTTGCCTTTACCATTCTGGCGTCATTTATTGCGCTTCTTCCGAGAAGAGCGTGACGGTGTCAAGATGCCCAAGGCGCGCTTGCTGAGCACAATTTGTTTCGCGGATTGGCCTTGGTTTCATGACCATTGACCATTTGCTTGCATTGCACCTTCAGAAAGACTGGCTTCGAACCTACTGCGTTGCGGTCGGAGTTATCCTTTTCTGGATCTCGTGGCTGCCGATTGAACCCGTGGGCAGTCAAAAGGACACGTGCTTTGTTATGATCGCTTGGCATTTCTGGTGTTTCTTGCATGTGTACGTTTACTTTGCTGCTTTGTTGCCCGTATCATTTCAAAGGGAGTCCGTGAAACAGATCACATCTCAAAGGGAGCCACGTTTGTCCAATAACTCTCCAAGACGAGGCATTGCAGGGAGTGCAAGGTAGCTGCCCGTAGGTCGCCTGGTAGCTGCGAATCAGCCTGATTCAGCACTGCAACATGGTCCTCAAATGTCCAAGCTCCTCTAAACTGAGTCAAGGGAGTTGCTCACATGACGTGGCATAAAGCTGAACATAATAACATATGAGCTGGCATGTGTACTCACATATGTACTGGCATTTCATTGGTGCTTGCACCATCTTGCATGCTGACATACACTCTGGCATTTTGGGCGGCATGTGTTCTGACATTTCTCACGCACTACTAGATGAGCAACACCATGGCCAAGAAAACTGAGGAGAAAGAGAGGAGTACTCAGCTCTGATCGAAGGGTAGCCCAAATAGAATATTAATTTAATCCAGCTCTGGATGCCATGAAAAGTGAACGTTGCTCTCTGGCAAACTACATTAAACACATATGCTGAAGTTCGGATCTTAATATTTCAAAATGCACTGAACTTGGTGATTTCGTGACACGTGAAGCACAGGACACCATTTTATGTGTTGCTTATCAACATGAAATTGCACACATTCAACGCCACAGGCAGTGAAGAAAGAGCGAATCACAAGGGAGGCGGGCGCAGACGTGAATCGCGAAAGTACTTTGAAAGCGCGAGACAACTTGAACCCTTTTGCCACAAGTGTGCAACAGTCTACAAGTCAAGCTGGCGCGTGTTGCGTTCATGGAGGATGTTCGAGCTGAGATTTATGGGAAACTCCGACCAGGAGTGCCCGTTGGAGCTGTTCCTTGGCAACCACTGCTTTGAGAAACACGCAGTTCTAGCAAGTGCCGGTTGATGGCAAGGAAACATGTTTCAAACACATGTCAAAGAAGTATCACAATATGCAAGTTGACGCAGAGTTTCCCTAAAAATTACGGCAACCAAATCATTAGTGCGAGCGTTTCTTCAAGGAAGCTTTCCCCTGCCCTTAGGTGGGGGAGCTTCCTTGAAGAAGTGTGAGCTATCCTGTGTCCTAGCTAGGACCTTCCTATTGCTAGTAGCTTACCTCCTTACTTAACTAAGTAAAAAGACACTTTTTGGCATTTTTTACAAAGCTGCTTATTCCTAGATGACCTGGGAGAGATAGATGACCTCTGAGGATCTTCCGACGGACGTTACGCAAAAGCTTCGTGCACGGCGGGCTTTTGAACGTTCCAGGGGACAGAGAGAGGCCGGGAGTAAAAGAAAGTGGTTGGATGCCATCGCTAGTAGGTTGGAGGCCATTGCTAGTAGGTTGGATGCCATTGCTAG